ATCTCTTTGCTGCTTCTGCATTCTGACTTGTGGTTGTTGTACGTTTTGTAGAGCACCTCTGAAATAAATGTTTTTGAAAATGGTTTGGTCATAGCTTGTCCTCTTTTAACTATTCACCCTGAATAAGATCTGGAGGATGAGGGAAGATAATAGTAGGACCAGGAAAAGACAAAGCTGCTGAGACTGCTGTGCCAGTATATCACCCAAACAAAAGAACAGGCATTACTCACAGATCTCAGTTAAAACTCAGTCACAGCATACCACAGGAGCTCACTGTTCTCACAGCTGGCCCAGAACACTAAGCTACTAACCACTGAACTGTAAATCATAAAACAAAAGGCACCAAACTCAGGGGATAAGCCGGTGTTGTGTCTACAAGTAATGGAAGACTTAGCAAAGAACCCCTTTTAAATGATATCCTCACAAATGCATTCACATGACCAGTTAAGCATACTTACAGCCTTCTTCTGTTTCACACCCAACTCCAATTTAAAAACAACAAGCAAAATGTGTTTAGGACTTTATAAGTGTCACGAACAGACGGGTGAATGGGGATGATGAAATTGGTACTGTGAGATTATTACACTGTCTTATGTTACATTATACCTCTAATCAAAGAGTTGCTGAATCATCGTATGACTATAGGCCACATTATACCTCTGATTTAAGCTTATGAACGCATTATAGTTTTAGGTTGCATTATACTCCTGAGTTAGAAGAAGGTGAAATTATTAGATTTATTTGACTGATTTGTATTACATTATACTGCTGATTTACTGTGAGTGAGTTACACTGTTTTATGGTCCTTCATATTGCTGATTTATTCTGATCTATAAAGAGAATACTGTTTGCAGAGAATCATGGCCTTCTTTTTCTGATTGTAGAAAGAACAGAGCGCACTGTACGGGAGCTTCTCCCCCACATTAGCCAGGAGCAGAAAAACAGGGAGCCAAGGTTCTAGGTTTTATGACAAGGTGGGGGCCACCAGAGGCTATATGAGTTTGAGTAACGGTCCGACATTTTGTCTGTGCACATCTCCCATCCGGATGATTGTATTGCTCATTGTGTTTATATGGAATAATAAGAGTGTATCGATTAAAGTGATTGTTAATTGAGCATTTATAATATCAGTGTTGTTCTTCCTTCAGCCCAAAGATCAAAGAATTGGGGTAATTTAACAGTACAAGTAGGAAATAATATAACCATCTCTTTCAATAATTTTCCATTATTTTTTGCATTAAGTATTAAAGTCAATAAAACAATAAAATATATTGTTAGCCATGTGAGAGAAGCAGATATTACAAAGAGGAATAGACTGAATCAAAGCTTTGAGGATGGAATCTCATCTGTTGATCAATACTGCCCTCTAGTGGACATGAGCGCAAAGAGCACAACAATCCTTTATTAAA